AATTTCATTTTCATATAGTTTATTATTAGTGTGTGAAAACACTACTGATTTTTGTATGTTAATTTTGAATCCTGCAACTTTATTGAATTTTTTTTATCAGTTATAAGAATTTCTTGGTGTGGAGTCTTTAGGGTCATCTATATATAAGATCATGTTGTCAGCAAACAGAAACAATTTTATTTCTTTTCATATTAGGATGCCTTTTATTTCTTCCTCTTGCCTAATTGCTCTGGATAGAATTTCTAGTACTGTGTTGAAAAGGAGTGGTAAGGGTAGGCATCCTTGTTTTGTCCCTGATCTTAGAGGAAAAACTTTCAACTTTTCACTGTTGAATATGATGTTAGCTGTGGGTTTGTCAGAGACAGTCATCCCTCAGTTTACTTGGCGGATTGGTTCCAGGACTCCCTACACATCCCCAAATTTGTGGATGCTTGAGTCCTGCAGTTAGTCTGTGGTACCTGTGGATACAAAAAGCCAGCGCTTTGTATATGTGGGTTCCACATCCCACAAATTCTGTATTTTTGACCCATGGGTGGTTGAATCCATGAATGTGGAATCTGCAAATATGGAGGGTTATTATTGCTTCTATTGTGTTGAGATACATTCCCTTTATACCTAAAGTTTTGAGAGTTGTGTTTGGTTTGTTTTACACCACAAAAGAATGTTGAATTTTGTCAAATGACTTTTCTGCACCTGTTGAGATGATTATATGGTTTTTGACCCTCATTCTGTTCATGTTTATCTCATTTATTGATTTGCATATGTTGTGCCAGGATTTGCTACTCAGGGGTAAATCCTGCCTTGATCAAAGTGAATAATTTTTTAATGTGTTGTTTAGTTTGGTTTACTAGTATTAGGTTGAGAATTTTTGCATCTATGTTCATCAGAGATACTGGCTTGTAATTTTCTTTTCTTGTATTGTCCTTGTCTGATTTTGGAGCAGAGAAATGCTGGCTGGGTAAAATAAGTTTGAAAGCATTGCCTCCACTTTGATTTTTTGGAAGAGCGTGAGGATTGGTATTCGTTCTTTAAATGGTCGGTAGAATTCAGTGGTGTTGTCATCGAGTCCTGGCTTCTTTTTGATGGGAGACTTTTTATTACTGAATCAAGCTCCTTACTTGTTATTGGTCTGTTCAGAATTTGTTTCTTCGTGATACATTATTCAGTCTTGGTAGGTTGTGTGTGTCTAGAAATTTGTCCACTTCTAGATTATCCATTTTGTTTGCGTATACTTTTTCATACTAGTGTCTTACGATCCTTTGTATTTCTGTGGTATCATTTGTCATGTCTCCCCTTTCATCTCTCATTTTATTTATTTGAGTCTTCTTTCTTTTTTCCTAGTCTAGCAAAGGCTTTGTTGGCTTTGTTTATTCAATAAAACAACTTTCGGTTTCATTATTTTTCATTGTTTCTTGTCTCTATTTTATTTCTGCTCTGATCTTTGTTATTTCCTGTCTTTGGCTAACTTGAGCTTAGTCAGCTAGACTGAGTTTTGTTAATTGATATAGACATTTATTACTATACAATTCCTTCTTATACCATGCAGAAAAGTACTTATAAGTTTTTGTATGTTGTAGTTCCATTTCCATTTGTCTCTATTTCCTTTTTGACTTCTTCAGTGACCCATTGGTTGTTTAGGAGTATGTTATTCAATTTCTGCATATTCATGAATTTTTTAGGATTTCTCCTGTTATCAATTTCTGGTTTCATACTATGGTGATCAGAAAAGATACTTGATTGACTTCAATAGTCTTAATTTTGTTAAGACTTTTTTGTAGTCTAACGTACAAAATAATCTATCCTGGAGAATGGTCTGCGTGCACTTGAGAATTACGTGGATTCCCTTGATGTTGGATTAAATGTTCTGTATATGTTTGTTAGGTGCATTTGGTTTAAAGTGTAATTAAAGTCCATTGTTTCCTTATTGATTTTCTTTCTAGACGATCTTTTACATTTTCATAGCAATTTGACAAATTAAAGAAATTAAAATTAACTTTAAAACTACCTGTAATTATTGCTGGATATATTTTTTAAGAATGTAGGCTAGGAGAGCAAATCACACAAAAATATGCTTATAAAAATGATATTTGTACATTCAAAAATTTGATTTAATTCATAAACGTGACAGTAATCTTTGATCAAACTATGGTGTAAGAGTGTATAGTCAGGCAGGGTACAGTGGCTCACGCCTGTAATCCCAGCACTTTGGGAGGCCAAGGCAGGTGGATCACCTGAGGTCAGGAGTATGAGACCAGCCTGTTCAACATGGTGAAACACCGTCTCTACTAAAAATACAAAAAAAAAAAAAAAAAAAAAGCCAGGTGTGGTGGTGTGCACCTATAGTCCCAGCTACTCAGGAGGCTGAGACAGGAGAATTGCTTGAACCCGGGAGGTGGAGGTTGCAGTGAGCCGAGATCGCACCACTGCACTCCAGCCTGGGCGACAGAGTGAGATTCTGTCTGAAAAAAAAAAAAAAATTTATATAGGTACACCTCAAATACTATAATATGACAAACGTAAAAACTGTGTTGTTACATGGACATTCTTATTAAAAAAATCCATCTGAAAGAGTAACAAATAAGTTAAAAAGTAGAAATAAAAGTATTGATGCATGTTAAACAGCAAAACACGCATGTCTGTCAATGAACTAGGAGAGAATATGGGATGATGTAAAAACCTTTGTATTTTAAATTAGGTAGGCAGATTTTGACTGTTCAGTACCTAGTATGCATTATTTGAAGGGTAGATTGCAATCTTTCTTGCAAATGAATCCCAGTAGGTAGGTAATTCCTCATTAAATGCCACAATCTCCCCAAAAGTGTAACCGAAGCCTGGCGTCCCTTCCCGGTTCACAGAGCAGGCAGTTCCAAGGAGTGAAGTCACTTTATCTGCTGCTGCTCAGCTTTCATTTTTTATTTTTTTGGAGACGGAGTCTCGCTCTGTCACCCAGGCTGGAGTGCAGTGGCCGGATCTCAGCTCACTGCAAGCTCCGCCTCCCGGGTTTACGCCATTCTCCTGCCTCAGCCTCCCGAGTAGCTGGGACTACAGGCGCCCGCCACCTCGCCCGGCTAGTTTTTTGTATTTTTTAGTAGAGATGGGGTTTCACCGTGTCAGCCAGGATGGTCTCGATCTCCTGACCTCATGATCCGCCCGTCTCGGCCTCCCAAAGTGCTGGGATTACAGGCTTGAGCCACCGCGCCCGGCCTCAGCTTTCATTTTAACAAGGGCTGATGCAGGACAGTTCTCCGGGTGGCCTCGAACCAACCAGTCTTCCCCCTTTTCTTGCTTGCGGTTTTCCAGAATAACTGTAGAATATGCTGGGACTGCGACATCGTGAGACAGGGAAGAGCCGAATGCAACAGCCCAGGTTCTCTTCCACTTCCCCTAGAAATAGGATGTTCTAGAAAACCAAACCCACTTGTTCTCACTCATAAGTGGAAGTTGAACAATGAGATGCCCCAGACCAAGAGGATAGGAATCCAGCGCTGTATCCCTGTGGTGATCGGGTCCGAGAGAGGATAAGGTGCTGGGAACCGGCCCATCACACCTCTGGAGTTTCAGAAGAATTTTGGTATTTCAAATTCACCAGCCAAGAGTGGATGTTTTGTTTGGTTTGGTTTTCTGGAGCTTTTCGGCGTAGTTCAGATGGAGGTCTGCGGGACCATGAGAAAGGCCAGATGCTGTAAACTACTGTGGACTCGAAAGTCATATGAATGTTTTAAGCTAGTATGTTTATTTACAAATTCTGGAAGAATAAACAGGAAACCAGTAACAGTGATGACTTGTTAGAGGTATGGAACTAGGTGAGAGACAGGAGAGAAAAACGATTTCCATGTGTACGGTTTAGCACATTTTGGAGTTTGAATATGTGAATGTACTACTTATTGAAAAATAAATGAATTAGGAAGTCTTACCCCAAAAGCAAACCATGGACTCTTAAAATGTATAAAATGGGTCGGGCGCAGTAGCTCACGCCTGTAATCCCAGCACTTTTGGGAGGCTGAGGCGGGCAGATCACAAGGTCAGGAGAGCAAGTCCATCCTGGCTAACACAGTGAAACCCCGTCTCTACTAAAAACACAAAAAATCAGCCGGGCATGGTGGTGGGTGCGTGTAGTCCCAGCTACTCAGGAGGCTGAGGCAGGAGAACGGCGTGAACCCGGGAGGCAGAGCTTGTCGTGAGCCAAGATTGCACCACTGCACTCCAGCCTGGGCAACAGAGCAAGACTCTGTCTAAAAAAAAAAAAATGTATAAAACAGAGGAAAATGCACTATGATGCAGCCTCTCTTTAATAAAGATTCCATAAATAGCAGAGACACTTGTATGTTTGGAGCCACATCCTTCTACTGTCTTAATGCTGTGTGTGGGCAAGAGTGTGTACGTGCCTGTGTTAGTGCAGGAAAACACGCATATGCCATCTTTTCTTCTCCCAGACATGAGAAGCCGAGAAGCAAGACTTAGACTATGTTGGTGCAGCCTCACTTGCCCTATTTTTATCTCCTCTGGACTGGAGAGAGCAGAGATAAGCAGCTGAGATTCCTAAGCATGGCAGGTACCAGAAACCTGAAGGCCATTCTTGCAGATGTGGCATCAGCAGATCCATGGGGCAGGTGGAAAGCGAAATGACACCCAGAAAAGGGAGTCTCTGTTTTTCTCCTATAGAAATGGCCCCGTGAGTCTCCCTAACCCAGCTCATCTATTCAGGGAACCTAGAGAATAAAGAAGCATAGAATATGGATAACTTGGGCATATGGGTTATTCGTGATATCTCTTTGGGACAGTGGCCAATGTCTTGTATGTTCCAGAGGTGTACTTATGATATAATTTTAAATCAGCAATATAATGGTTTAAATATATTATTCTATTGGATTGAACAAAAGAACCACCACCTAACTTTATGCTAAAAAAAATCGAGTTTATTTTTTTTTCTACCTTTGGCAAAAGGAAAGGAATAATCTGCTTGTTTCAGAAGAAAGTAGAAGTATATGAAATCCACATTCTGTCTTCTGGACACATGACATGGCTTAGCATGTGTGGTATTCGATGTTCAATCCATTCATGAGAGTGGAATGGCTAGTGGTGCAGCTGGATGAACAGAAGTTGGGAAGAGAGCAATGCAGGTCTTGGAGTTGGAAAAATCATCTGTGTTAGTCCTTCTTCCTATCTCACTTCTTTTCTTAAAACCTGGAGAGGCAGAACATAAAGGGAGCCCAAATCCAATTCATGTGGTCTCAGTTTGACCAGGTGAGCATTTGCAGGGATCCCCTTTATCTTTTAAAGAATGAATAAGGTCTAGTATTTGATAGTACAATAGCATCACTATAGTCAATAATAATTCAATTGTACCTTAAAAAGTAACTAAAATTGTGGATTGTTTGTAACACAGAGGATAAATACTTGAAGTGATGGATACAACACTTACCCTGATGTATTACATACTGTATGCCTGTATCAAAATATCTCATGTACCCCATAAATATACGCACCTGCTACATACCCACAACATTTTGGAAAATGTAAAAAATAACGAAAAATTATGACATTGGTTTGGTTGCTTTGTAATGTAGGTAGATGTTATATATATAGCATCTAGCAAAAGGCAGTTGGAGCAGTAAGTGAGATTATGCAAATAGAGTTTCTACATTTTACATGAGGCGGCATGATATTAACTGTAAATGGACTGTGAGAAGCTAAGCATGTATATTGAAATCCTACAGCAGCAAATGCAAACAGAAGAGAAAGGAGAATAACTTAAAAAGTAATAAATAAATAGGAATTATAAAAAGGATTATTACCATGGGTGGAGCGTCCCCTCTGCTTGTTAAAGTTCCAGCTGTGTTTCCTGCTGGTGCACACATCCTGACTTGCTTAGGTGTCTCTCCTCATTATTCTACGTTCCCTCTGTAGGCCGGCTGTGGAGTCAGAGGAAGAGCATTCACCATGAGGGAAACTGGGCTCAAATACAAAATCTGCATTTTTCTAATGGAAAGCCATGGGCGGACGGGCGCGGCAGCTCACGCCTGTAATCCCAGCACTTTGGGAGGCCGAGGTGGGTGGATCACCTGAGGTCAGGAGTTCGAGACCAGCCTGGCCAAGATGGGTGAAACCCCATCTTGGCCAGGCACGGTGGCTCATGCCTGTAATCCCAGCACTTTGGGAGGCCGAGGCGGGTAGATCACGAGGTCAGGAGATTGAGACCCTCCTGACTAACATGGTGAAACCCCGTGTCTACTAAAAATACAAAAAGTTAGCTAAGCATGGTGGCGGGCACCTGTAGTCCCAGCTACTTGGGAGACTGAGGCAGGTGAATGGCGTGAACCCGGGAGGTGGAGGTTGTAGTGAGCCGAGATCGTGCCACTGCACCCCAGCCTGGGTGACAGAGCAAAACTCCATCTCAAAATAAAAAATAAAATAAAATAAAATAAAATAAAATAAAATAAAATAAAGAAAGACATGGGCTAAGTCACTTCAAGTCACTTCATCTTTTAGAGATGTGACTTCTTCATCTAGAAGGAGGGCTACTGCCATCTGTGCCACAGGACTATGTTGAAAACGAAAAGAGACAATAATATATGTGATATACTAAAGGCACACACCCACATACATACATACATTTCATATGTAATGAAATGGCTACTGTCTCTGAACCTACATGGCACATTTTTAACTTCTTTTGTAGCACTTATCCCTTTCTTCCTTGTTTCTTTTTTTTTTTCTAAAAAGAGTATTTGAGTGCTCAGTTAATAGTGCAGGACAATACACTGCGCTATGTCCCTTAGCTGATAGAAAAGGGAGAGAGATACATTGTTTGACCTGGAGGGACATCAAGTCTTGACTGTACAAGTGTTTTCCTTCCCCAACTAGAATCCTCATTCTCCATCCTGGCTCCTTTTCTTGAAGTTTGGTCATTCTGCAATGAATTCTTTGTTGAAAACTTGACTTATCAGCTCCCCTCTGATCCATGTTCTGTTAATTTTGCTCCAAAACTTTATATCTTCATTCTACTATTTAATTCAGTATATCTACAACAGTCACAGGAACTCTAAAAACACACCCAAAATGGAACTATTTTTTTCTGAAATTGCTCTTTTGTTCACTACTGTCATTAAGGGCATCTTTTTTGTGTGTGACTCAAACTCAAAATCTTGTGGACATCTTCTTACTTAGTGCTATCATAATAATTCATTCTGTGGTTTCCATTTCCACACTACATTTGCATCTAGATCATAGATGCAAAGAAGGATACCTTCTTATATAGTATCTATCCTCTTTGGTACTTACTATTTCAGTATGGACAATAAACACCTAATTCCATTAGACCTTACTGACTTTATCCATAACAGCAAAATTAGTCTTGTATTCATTATGTATCTTCACTTTCTCTTCCCTAGATTGCTTTAAGAGATGTCTAATTTAATTAAACTCCTGGTCTCATCACTGTCCTCTCCTCCCTTACTGCTCTCTTATCTATCCATTCTTGATTAAAGAGAAACTCTCTTCATTGTTTCATTCAGAGCTTTTAACTATGTATCTATGCAACTATCATAATTTCATAAACACCCCTGGACTCAACACTTAATCTGAATATTAAGACTGTAGTAATAACCTACAACTAACTATGTGATAACCTGAGTTCTATTCCTCCATCTCCCCTCTTGAATTTTGTCTCATCTTCAATCCTGTGGTCATTCTTTCCTTTGCTTTTGTTTTTATTTTATTATTCATTAATGACTGTCTTAGTAAGATTTTAGGAGGAGTTGTATTATCTTTATATATAGTCTAGTTTAAACTATGAAGTAAGCACAAAAATATTTCCCCAGGTCAGTTTCTTTTTTTTTTTACTATACTTTAAGTTCTGGGGCACATGTGCAGAACGTGCAGGTTTGTTACACAGGTATACACATGCTATGGTAGTTTGCTGCACCCATCAACCCATCATCTACATTAGGTATTTCTCCTAATGCTATCCCTCCAATAGCACTCCACCCCCTGACAGGCCCCAGTGTGTGATGTTCCCTTCCCTGTGTCCATGGGTTCTCATGGTTCAGCTCCCACTTAAGAGTGAGAACATGTAGTGTTTGGTTTTCTGTTTTTGTGTTAGTTTGCTGAGAATAATGGTTTCCAGCTTCATCCATGTCCCTGCAAAGGAAAGGAACTCATCCTTTTTATGGCTGCATAGTATTCCATTGTATGTGCCACATTTTCTTTATCCAGTCTATCACTGATGGGCATTTGGGTTGGTTCCAAGTCTTTGCTATTGTGAACAGTGCTGCAGTAAACATAATGTGCATGTGTCTTTATAGTAGAATGACTTATAATCCTTTGGGTATATACCCAGTAATGGGATTGCTGGGTCAAATGGTATTTCTAGTTCTAGATCCTTGAGGAGTCACCACACTGTCTTCCACAATGGTTGAGCTAATTTACACTCCTACCAACAGTGTAAAAGCATTCCTATTTCTACACATCCTCTCCAGCATCTGTTGTTTCCTGACTTTTTGATGATCGCCATTCTAACTGGTGTGAGATGGTATCTCCTTGTGGCTTTGATTTGCATTTCTCTAATGACCAGTGATGATGAGTTTTTTTTTTTTTTTTTCATGTTTGTTGGCTGCATAAATATCTTCTTTTGAGAAGTGTCTGTTCATATCCTTTGCCCACTTTTTGATGGGGTTGTTTTTTTCCTAAATTTAAATTCTTTGTAGATTCTGGATATTAGCCCTTTGTCAGATGGATAGATTGCAAAAATTTTCTCTCATTCTGTAGGTTGCCTGTTTACTCTGATGGTAGTTTCTTTTGCTGTGCAGAAGCTCTTTAATTAGATCCCACTTGTCAATTTTAGCTTTTGTTGCCATTGCTTTTGGTGTTTTAGTCATGAAGTCTTTGCCCATACCTATGTCCTGGATGGTATTGCCTAGGTTTCCTTCTAGGGTTTTTATGGGTTTAGGTCTTAAGTCTTTAATCCATCTTGACTTAATTTTTGTACAAGGTGTAAGAAGGGGGTCCAGTTTCATTTTTCTGCATATGGCTAGCCAGTTTTCCCAATACCATTTATTAAATAGGGAATCCGTTCCCCATTGCTTGTTTTTGTCAGGTTCATCAAAGATCAGATGGTTGTAGATATGTGGTATTATTTCTGAGGTCTCTGTTCTGTTCCATTGGGCTACGTGTCTGTTTTGGTACCAGTACCATGCTGTTTTGGTTACTGTAGCCTTGTAGTATAGTTTGAAGTCAAGTCGCATGATGCCTCCAGCTTTGTTTTTGTTTTTGTTTTGCTTAGGATTGTCTTGGCTATACAGGTGCTTTTTTTGGTTCCATATGAAATTTAAAGAAGTGCTTTCTAATTCTGTGAAGAATGTCAATAGTAGTTTGATGGGAATAGCATTGAACCTATAAATTACTTTGGGGAGTATGGCCATTTTCATGTTATTTATTCTTCCTATAACTGAGATTGGATTGTTTTTCCATTTTTTGTGTCATCTTAGTTCTTTGAACAGTGGTTTTTAGTTTCCCTCGAAGAGGCCCTTCACATCCCTTGTAAGCTGTATTCCTAGGTATTTTATTCTCTTTGTAGCAATTGTGAATTGGGAACTCATTCATGATTTCACTCTTGGCTTGTCTATTATTGGTGTATAGAAATGCCTGTGATTTTTTCACATTGATTTTGTATCCTGAGATTTTGCTGAAGCTGCTTATCAGCTTAAGGAGTTTTTGGGCTGAGACTATGGGGTTTTCTAAATATAGAATCATGTCGTCTGCAAACAGATTCTCTTCCTATTTGAATACTCCTTATTTCTTTCTCTTGCCTGATTGTCCTGGCCAGAACTTCCAATACTGTGTTGAATAGGAGTGGCGAGAGAGGGCATCCTTGTCTTGTGCCAGTTTTCAAAGGGATTGCTTCCAGCTTTTGCCATTCAGTATGGGTTTGTCATAGATGGCTCTTATTATTTTGAGATAATATCTAGTTTATTGGGAGTTTTTAACATGATGGGATGTTGAATTTTATTGAAGCCCTTTTCTGCATCTATTAAGATAAGCATGTGGTTTTTGTCATTGGTTCTGTTTATCTGATGGATTACATTTATTGAACCAGCCTCGCATCCCAAGGATGAAGCTGACTTGATTGTGGTGGATAAGCTTTTTGATGTGCTGCTGGATTCAGTTTGCCAGTATTTTATTGAGGATTTTTGAATCATTGTTCATCAGGGATGCTGGTCTGAAGTTTTCTTTTTTTGTTGTGTCTCTGCCAGGTTTTGGTATCAGGATGATGCTGGCCTCATAAAATGAGTTAGGGAGGAGTCCCTCCTTTTCAATTGTTTGGAATAGTTTCAGAAGGAATGGTAGCAGCTCCTCTTTGTTTCTCTGGTAGAATTCAGCTGTGAATCTATCTGGCCCTGGGCAATTTTGGGTTGGTAGGCTATTCATTACTGCCTCAATTTTGGTAGTTGTTATTGGTCTATTCAGGGATTCTACTTCTTCCTGGTTTAATCTTGGGAGGGTGCATGTGTTCATGAATTTATCCATTTCTTCTAGATTTTCTAGTTTATTTGTGTAGAGGTGTTTATAGCATTCTTTGTAGTTTGTATTTCTGGGGGGATCAGTGGTGATACCGCTTATATCAATTTCTTATTTTGTCTATTTGATTCTTCTCTAGTCTAGCTAGTGGTCTATCTCTTTTGTTAACTTTTAAAAAAAAAAAAAGCTCCTGGATTCATTGATTTTTTTGAAGGGTTTTTCGTGTCTCTTCCTCCTTCAGTTCCACTCTGATCTTAAAGTTATTTCTTGTCTTCTGCTAGCTTTTGGATTTGTTTGCTCTTGCTTCTCTAATTCTTTTAATTGTGATGTTAGAGTGTTGATCTGAGATCTTTCCAGCCTTCTCATGTGGGCATTTAATGCTATAAATTTCCCTTTT